AATTATATATAATTTTATATAATTATATATGAATTATATATGAATTATATATGAAACGTTTCTTCCTCGGGGAAGATGTTGTCAAGCCTGAATTTTATACCGTTTAGGATTAAATTTGCGTCGTAACTTTTTAACTTCACTGCTCCGATTTCGTAGGTGGCGAAGAACCGGTAGCCGTAACGGATTTCTCATTTGACGATACGGGTAAAGCCTTGAGAATCGCATGTACCTCTTCCGCCACTGCCATCAGGACGAACTCGAACTGTTGTTTCGTAGCAACCATATCCGGTCTTTGATCTCTAATATGCTCGAGAGTAGCTGCGATATCAATTTCCTTCGCTCCCTTCGTCATACGGTTTAGGACCATGTCAATCAAGCAGTAAGTACCAGTTCGTCCAGCTCCATCACTGTAAAAAGATTAAGTATGAAAATACACTGAACATCATACTGATATTTCAAATATTCAATATAAAAATATAGATACCTGCAATGCACGACTATCGGGCAAGATCTCCCACGATATGATTTATTAACTTTTCTAGAAAGAGAAAAATCGAAATAACTTTAAAAGTTATTTTTAGACATGACAAAAAAATAGTATTTATAGTATCATTCTTTTCTTTGATTCTTAATAATATATAAATAATTATGTATAAAACATAGTGTTCTCAATTAAATCGTTCAATTTGATCTTTTTATATAGATATACACATATAATTAAATAATCATCACATATAATTAAATAATCTTTTAAACAATTACAGTATAATAAATTATTATATAATAATATGAAGAGAAGGGGGGGGGAGAGAGAGAGAGAATATGAATTATATAATAATAAGAACACTTCGCGTAAGCGAAGCTCCCTACAAAATATCAGTTAAATCGACACAAACCTACGGAACTCAAGCAGAGCCTTTGTAGAATATGGGACGCTGTTCTCCGGCCAGGAGAGGAAGTGGAATTGCGTGACAGTACGAGTCTCACAAGTGCGCAGATTTTTCAGATAGAAGGAGCGCACTAGATAATCATCGCACCAAAAATGCTCCGACACCAGATGCACCTCATAGATGTGATAGAGCTCCGAGCCTTCCTCAGGCCAATAACGATGGCACATGGCACGGCCTTCTTCGGTAAGTCGTGTTAGCATCACAATTACCACGCTGCCTTGTTCCCAAACCAATTGCCAGAAATCAGCCGTAGTCTGCGGTAATGGTCCTTGCGTGGCTATATAAGCCGGATTCCGAGGATCGTGATCCGTCTGCAACGAACAAATGAACAAATTGTGGGTTTCACAAAAAATTCGTTAAACGCTCAGTCCGTTATAAACGATAAATTAGGTTTATTGTCAAAATTGTTTATTGTTTCCTTCCTGATTCTTATCAAAATAAAGAAGCGTAATTTTAATAAACTTAATCGCAGTTCGAATTTAATATGTGTGAAGAAACTATCATTTCTTTTATTCTTGATGATTTATAGCAGGATCGTTTCCATTGTTTTCACTCAGGGATGTTTAATGGTAGCATATAAGTGTCCTATTCAATTTCTATTATTACTAATTTTTACTTTTTCTTTGGATCTTTCATTTATGACACGGATATATCAATAAACATAATATTGCCATACATTGTCAACTGTGCAGTTAAAAAATACAAAGCTTGCTCTCTCGATAAACATGCTAGTTCGTTCGCTTGTGTTAAGAGATGCATTAATTAAAAAAAAAGATATCTACCGCAAGCGCCAGCCTTATTTGTGCCGAGAACGATTTTGCGATTTTTAAACGATCAATTTGACATGCCCATCGACTGAACTTACCGACTTCTATATGTATATATTGTGATGACAGCCGGAAAACCGAATGTCGTACGTATTTCAGCAACGTTATCGTGAAAACGAAAATATTTATTTTATTTTTACACAAGTTACCTTGCAACTTTGCATAATCTTTCATTTCTTACATCATGAATTGAATTTTTCGCGTGTTGAAATATAATCCTCCTGAATCCTATTTTACATGAACATTATGCACTTGATATAATTTATAATAAATATTTATAATAAACAAAATATTATTTAATATTACACATTCCAACATATAATAAATATATATTGTTATAAAAGATTACAATGAAAGAGAGAATGACAGTTTGTATCATTCGCCGTGTTCTGCGAATTTTGTTTAATATGATTAGATATATATAAAACATAGCTAGTTTTAAAAAAGAAACATTAAGCTTCAGAAGGATTCACTGAAGGAATAATGCAAAAAATAATATCACAGAAATACTTACGATTGTGGAAGCATTTATGTAGTCGGAATTATTAGCGTTTGCTAGATCGTTGAGGACTACTCGAGAATGATCATAGGGAAGTGCCGCGTTGGGACGATTCTGCTTGACATTCGCCTCGCTCTCCGCGATCTCCGTGGACGATGGTTCAGCTTCATAAGCACACAATGCCGCCCATTCCTGATCCAGACGATCTTTATTTTTCAAATGATCTTCCATATATCTCTGCAAATATGAATTTGATGTAAAGTGAGAAATATCAACACGAAATAACTAATTTCAAATTAATCAAGTGCGACAAAAATTTCGAAAAATTATATTTAAAATTCTTCTAATATTCAAAACATTTCTTTTTTCTTTATTTTATTATTTATGCTTACAAGAACCATATGACCGGTTGATATGTCCATATTGGTGAGAGCAGGTTCCTCGCCCCAAGAGGATGTGCTGGATCGATTGGAGGACATATTATTGGATTCATTTTCGCGCGTCAAGCTTGTGATACGTGGCGATTCCAATTTTTCACTCGGTTGTTTCGCTTGCATTCTCGCTCTACATAGATCTTGGTAGTCCTTGGATGCTTCTGGATCCGGAGTAGCCAGTCCAGCAAGCTTAGCTCGACATTTGGCGTGACGACGCGCAATTATAAGCGTAACTACTGCGGCTGCGATCGCAGCCGCAACTCCAGCAGCTACTAATGCACCGAAAAAACTGGAACTCGTATCGCTCTCTCTAGCTACCTCCAGAGTAGCTGGTAATTTAGTCTGTAGAAAAATGTGGCTTGAATATTATTTTCTTTTGCGATTTAATCTTTGGCTTTTCATTATTGTAAAAAATGTGGTTTTTTGATAATATTGATAATATTAAAATAATATTTTATTTTAATATATGCAACAAATTGGCAATTATTTAATTTGTCTTGATAAAAAAGATATATATTTATTATAGTACCTTATCGCCTATACCTGCTCGAATAACTTCTATTCCTAGCGCATTTTGTAATTTACCACGTATTTTATCTAAAACAAAGTACATTTTTTAGTACAAGTTTTAAAATACATTTTACGGAGACAAATTTACTTTATCTTATAATTTATGTAATATTTATATATTTTTATCAGAATTCGTATTCATATAAAATAAGTATAGTACGTAAATTGTACCGATGCTGTTAACAACGTCGGTTGCGTTGTAATTTTTGTCATTTTGAATCACTTTAAATGTTACTTCCGCACGGCCCACTCGTATGTCTTTTAACGTTCCGGAAGGCAATCCCAGGAGTTCTTCGACCTAAAAATTCAAAAATTTTACATTAATTTTAAAGTTATTCATAGTTAATATCTCCTTGAAATATTATGAATTATGTTCTATTTTATTCTACCTTATTAACCACGTGTTCTCCTTCAAGCCATGTATGAAACTCTTGCTCAAATTCAATATAAACATAATCTAAGTCAACATTCTTGTAAGTTTCTGGCTGGCCATCGCTTGTTCTGTACATATTACTGTTTAATTCCTTCTTAGTTAATGGTGCATATATTTCGTTATTATTCTACAAGGATATGCATATACTTTGTTATTTTACTAAGATATTGATGGAATACTTACTATAATCTGATAGAAAATATCAACTTAATTACACTTACATCCTGATTATTTATCTCGGAATAATCTTTGTCAAGAAGGGCTGCAAAAAATCAATGAAACAAAATAAAAATCTTGTAAATTACATCTTTAGGATATCTTTACTAATAAGGACCATCTCAAAATAATAAGAAAAATTAATTGTAAAACTGAAATCAAATGCAGATTTAATTGGAAATGTACACTTTACTTACTAGCCGAAGATTGGGTTTTAAATGCGTAATTATTCGTCGAAAACGGCGGTCCAGGTTTTTTAACGTCTAGACGTTCCCTGCGTTTAAAGCCAGCCAACTCTCGTCTCCATAAAAGTGCATCTAAATCATCGTCGTACATTTCGTCATATACAGTTCCTGCGTCAAATACATTTCAATATAATAAAAAGATATTAAAATAATCCTCAATATAGATAACAGAAGTGGGTAAAAATATTTCATATATTTGAAATATTTTTATTTAAAACACAGTATTTGCAAAATAAATGTATTTTATATTTTATATTTCAGCGGAGTACATGAAAATATTATATATTTTATATTTAAAATCGAAAGATTGAAAGTTTTTTGTACTTTAAATAGATTAAGGTTGATTGTCAATCTTAATATATGAAATTACAAATACAAAATACTTTTAATTTTTCATTATTAATAACTGAAATACAAAATACTTTTATATGCTCACATGAAATATAAAATATGAAATATTTTCATGTGCTCCACTGAAATATACAAAATACAAAATACAATTACCTTATAAGTACTGTTTTTCAAATAAAAGTATTTCAAATACGTGCCAGCCCTGTTTATTAAGTGATAAACTTACCACTTGCATCGGATGTAATTTTATATTTCCTAGGTCGCACAACTCCTCCCTCAGTATACATTTCTCGTATTTTCGAAGAAGTATCCACGTCGGATCTCTCGCTATTTGCTGAATTCTCTTCATTAATTTCGCTATTCTCATAATCAAGATCCTCATCGCTTCCCATCATTCCCTTTTTTACATCAGTATCGGAAAATTCGAAACGCAGTGGTTTCTTCCGATGTTTATATTTTCTTGAGAACGCCCTCTCATTTGTCTCGGAGGAAGGCTTCAATGTGTAATCTGGCGATTTTTCGTTCTGCAAAAATTCCAAATTCGCGGACAAAAGTTGCGTGTTAGAAATATTTTCATTATCATCCTCGGGCAATGTTTCATCTCTCAAAGTATCCTCAAGTGACTCGGTAACATCATTTTGATAATCATCGATGAAGCTGAATCGACGTGTTCTAGATGGATAAAATTGTTCGCGCATATTCATTGAATTTCTGTATTCATTGTCAAATTTCTCATTGTTGATTGAAGCCTGATTACTCTCATCATCTCGCCATTTCATGTATCCAGATCTGTAAAAAAAACAAATTTGATGAGATTTCTGATTGTATATGTCAATAATTAACGTTCATGATAGAAAATCGATATCTTACTT